CTAAGGTGGGTTCTGGGCCAGGCATTACCTCATCCTCATCTTCCTCCTTGTACTCCTCCTCCTCCTCATCTTCCAGCAGCCAACCAAAATCAGACCCAAAGTCAGACTCGACCTCAGCCCCAGCAGGGAACTCCCCCTTGTCAATCAGAATGTATCTGCTCCTGAACTTGGCCTCCAGGTCCTCCTGCTGCTGACTGGGGGACAGAACAGCTCCTGAAGCATCACATTCCACACGGGCAAACCTGGCATCCTGCCAGCATCAGATTTCCAAAGAAAACCCCCTATTCTCCCTTTGGCCTCATCCCCAAACACCCCACCCTGCCCCTTCCATGCTTCCCACAACCATCATGACCTTCATCCCCTCTCTTCCTCTCCTTTTCCACCACATCCCTTCGGGTCTCTTGGATATTGAAGCTTTTTTTGGGGGGGATATTTTTATACTTTCCATAGGTATGGTCCAGATTAAATCCCATTAACTCTGCTCATTCCCATCACCTTTAATCCAGGTTGGATGGGGCTTGGAGCAACCTGTGAGAGGTGTCCCTGCCCATGGCAGGGGTGGAACTGGATGAGCTTTAAGGTCCTTCCATCCCAAACCATCCTGGAATTCCATGACCTTACCTTACAATCACTTTGAACTGTTTGAACACCTCCTGGATTTGCTGGATGCTCACTATCTGAGGAAGAGAGAGGTATAAATCCAACAATTTTGGTATTCATTCTTTAAAGGAGTTCCAAATAAACCAATTTAAAGGGGTTTTAGGGCTGAGGAAAATTGTCCTCAAGCTTCTAAAACATGGAGACAGTCCCTAACATGCAAAAAAAAAAGTTAAATTACAGTCCTGTAGTGCTTTTGGGGTGAAAAAAAAAAAAAGAAAGCCTCTTCAGAAGACACTTTCATTGTGCCTTCCTGCAGGAAAATGGGATGGAATCAATATTTCAGTCCTTTTCCACCAGAAAGCCACTTACATCGATCTCCTCAATGGCTCCTCTGAGGTATTTGTGCACTTGGGATTTAATTGCTGCTCTCTCAGCACCACTCAGGGGGCTGTAAGTCCCAGAATAATGACTTGCCTGAGGAGAAAAAGGTGGAAAACTGAGGATCAGGGAGTTAAAATTGGGAGGGGGGGGGGAGAGGAGCACGATGGGGACAAAGCTTTTAGCAGGGCCTGTCGGGGTGGGATGAGGGGGGATGGTTTGAAACTAAAAGGGGGGAGATTCCCACTGGATTTAAGGAAGGAATTCTCTTCTGGGAGGGTGGCACAGGTTGTCCTGGGATGCTGGAACTGTTCCAGGCCAGGCTGGACGGGGCTTGGAGCAACCTGGGATAGTGGGAGGTGGGACTGGGTCATCCTTAACATCCCTTCCAACCCAAACCAGTCTGGAACTCCATAATTCCACCACTGTGGCAGACACCTGACATCACTGTGCCCACTTCTGATTGGGAGTCTCATCACCTGGCTTGGCAGGAGACGGGATTTGGGAAGCAAACACTCCCCCTCCCATTCCAACCAGCAACAGAAGGGCTTCAAGAGCCTTAAGAAAACCACCTCCAGTGGCTCAGGAGGGAAGTTACAACAAAACCTCCCTGTGTGGGATCTCCAGGTTCCCCTAAAGCCCAAAAGATGGTGTTGGAAGCAGAAGGGAGAACCCAATCCCACCGGACAATGCCTTAAGTGATCCTTACAAACATGTCCTGCATGGCCAGTTCCTGCTTCAGGAGTTCAATCTCCTCCTCCAGGGCCTTCACTGACACCTAACAGGGAAAAAAAGGGTGAGCAAATCACCAGATTATATTGGAGTGGGGAAAAAATCACCTAAAAGCAGCACAGAACTGGCTGCTGGAGAATATCCCAGCTGGAATAGCAGCACAGTTTCCTTCAACACTCCAATTTCAGCTCCTCTGGTTTGGGTTTCTTCCACTCCTCCAGCTGTGAAAGTGCCCTCAGGACACCTAAAACCTTGTGATCCCTGTCCTGAAATTATTCTTGAAGTAATTCTTTAAATTATTTCCTTCTTTACCCAAGTTTTCCAGTTGTGGAGAAGATGTTACTTCACCAGCAGGAATGGGGGATAACAACCTGTAAAGCTGCAGGTAGGACTGGGATGATTTCCCCACATACCAGGGAAGTAATTCACAGTAAAATATCTCTGTTGAGAGGTGAAGTTATCAGAAAAAATATGGATTCATATGCAGCTGAAAGAATTCCCACATGTCAGGGAATATTTGCCCACAGCATTGCTGTTCCCTCTCAGATAACTAAATATCTATTTAAAAAGTTTAATATTAATCCATTTTATCATCCACCTAAAATTAGCAATGTCAGCTTGGCTGAGAAGGGATAATTTATGGAACTGCCTAATTTGCCTCTGGTTTTTAAGGTTATTACCCTAAATATTAATGAATTCGAGCCAAAATTCCTTCCTCCACTCCCGTTCTTTCCGTACCTCCCGGTCAAAGGTCACGTTGGGAAGTGGCTCTGCTGTGATCCACCTCATCCTGGTGGCAAAGCGAAGGGAAGACAGCTGGAAAACAAGGATTTTAAGGAGCTGAAAGAGGTACTGGCAGGGAGATCATTTTCCAAACCTGTTTTTGCTTCATTAAATCAGGTCCAAGGACACAGAAATATGAAATTATTTAACTGCTCCATGGACATGGAAATATAAAATCCATTTCCCTGTTTAATTTTAATCCATTTAAAATCTATTTCCCTGCTCCAAGGGATCCCCTCCTGTGTTTTACAGATGTGGTGAAGACGATTCTGTTCACAAAGGAAGGTTTTCCCTGATTTTATCGTTTCACAGGTTAAAAACCAACCAGTTGGGAGGTTCCTCCTGATTCCTGACCCAGCTCTGCTGTGAACTGGTGCAATTCCAGCGAGCCCATTCTGTGATGTTCCATGGAAACCCATCAGAGCTGGATAATAATGATAATTAACACTCTCCAGTGAGCCTGAATTTGAGCTGCCCTGTTTCAGATTCTCCTCAGCTGACAGGAGCCTGTTTTCTGAGCCCTTGAGATAAGATGAGCTTCCCAACGTTTGGGATGAACCAGGCAGGATGTTTCCCTGCCAGAACCCTCCAGGGGCTGTTCTTTAAACCAAGGAGCAGCAGGAACCAGGCTTGGATCCTGCAGGAATCCCTTCAACTCACCGTCTCCCCCACATGAGCAGCTTCCCCACAGATGTTGGTCACCAGGACAGTGTTGCAGTTTCCCCCTGGGGAAAAAAAAAAAAAGTAATAATAAAAATAAAGCAAAGAATATAATTGAGGGATGTTGTTGTTGGCTTTTCTGGAATTTAATATATGATGTGCTGTTTAAAATACAGAGGAATCACAGAATCTCAGGATGGTTTGGGGTGGGAAGGGACCTGAAGGATCACCCAGTGCCACCCCAGCCACAGGCAGGGACACCTTCCACCAGCCCAGGTTGCTCCAACCTGGCCTTGGACACTTCCAGGGATCCAGGGGCAGCCACAGCTTCTCTGGGCAACCTGTGCCAGGGCCTGCCCACCCTCCCAGCCAGCAATTCCTTCCCAGTATTCCCCCTGAAGCCACTTTCATTTGAAGAAGCCCAAAGGACACAGCCCGAGTGGGACTGTCCCTCCAGAGGGCACAGAGAGACTTAGAATTAAAGGTCAGATTTGTTTCCCATGGAGTGACGATGCAATGGAAAGATGGGAATAAAAACTGTCATTTCCAGGAGTTTATAAAGGCTGTGCTTTTCAGTATTCCCAGAGAAGCTGTGGCTGCCCCTGGATCCCTGGAAGTGTCCAAGGCCAGGTTGGAGCAGCCTGGGCTGGTGGAAGGTGTCCCTGCCCGTGGCAGGGGTGGCACTGGATGGGCTTTAATGTCCCTTCCAACCCAAACCATTCCATGATAAATTATGGCCTTGGGACTTAACATGCTGATAGAAACAGCATTTTCAGAGCCCTCTGGGGCTGCTGTGAGGCCCAGCCCTTACCCAGGGAGTCCTTGAGGACGTGAGTGAGTTTGCTCTGCCGGAAGGGAATATGGCCCCTGCTGGGATCAGCCAGGGCCAGGATGATTTGCTCAAGGAACGTCAGGGACCTGTTGATGTAGGAGTTCTCTCTCCGGATCTGTCCTGCAGCCTGCAAGGCAGATCAGAAGGGGAAGTTTCCATCACATGTTTCTGGCCAAACAGCGGGAAAAAGCAGATTCCTTATCCAAAAAAAACCAAAACTCCAAGGGTCAGGAGCTGATTCAGCTCCCTGATCTGGAGCTTTCCCCAGTTTGAAAACGAGTTTTCAGAGACCTCAGTTTTTCATTATAAGTCTACAAGGACTTGGATTTCCTTCCCAAAGGGTGTGTTTGTCACAGGGCTGGTGCAATTTAAATTCTGGTCAATAGAGAATGTTATGGAATCAGGGAATTGTTGAGGGTGGAAAAGGCCTCTGAGATCGAGACCAACCAAGCGCTGCCCAGGCCACCACTGACCACGTCCCCAAGTGCCACATCCATGTGGGTTTTAAATCCCTCCAGGGATGGGGACTCCACCCCTGCCCTGGGCAGCTGTGCCAGGGCTGGACAGCCTTTCCCAGGAATAAGTTTCCCTGGGAGCAGAGCCCGACCCTCCCCAGTTCCTCCCTCCTGTCAGGGATTGCAGAGCCAGAAGGTCCCCCCTGAGCCTCCTTTTCTCCAGGCTGAGCCCCCCCAGCTCCCTCAGCTGCTCCTGCTGCTCCAGCCCCTTCCCAGCTCCCTTCCCTTCCCTGCACACATTCCAGCCCCTCCAGGTCCTGTCCCACGTGGGATCCGAGGAGTTCCCAGGATTTACCGTGATCTTGCTCAATCTCTCAGAACCTGCCAGGTCTATCAGGGTGATTTTGGATTTCATGCCTTTGAGATCTGTGTCGGTTCTGGAACGACACTGAGGGAGAACAGGATAGAAACTGCACTTGAACTGAAAGACAGGAAAAAAACTGACTGCAAAGATCCTTTTTTTTTTAGTCCCCAAAAAGCTGTTTGAATCCCTGCAAACACCTCTGGAGCTCTCACCTCAAGATAAATAGTAAAGATGCAGTGGGATCTGGAGGAATTCTTATTCAGGGCGTGCTCTGCTATCACTCTGTTGGTCTCACCCTGCAAATGGAGACAAAATTCAAGGCTCAGCTCACGGGATTGTGGCTTTTTGAGGAAGAGTTTCCTGCAGAATAGCAGCTTTCCCTTCTCCAGGTGAACAACCCCAGCAATCCCAGCCTCCATCAGCATCCTTCTGCTCTTTAAAAAGGGATTTCCAGCACGTTCCAGAGCTCAGGACACCACAGGCCTGTCACTAAAAGGGCCAGAGAGAGGTTTTAAGGACACCAGGTGGCTCTGGGTGAGAACACACTTCCTGCTTCCAGATCCAACTCTTTATTCCCGTTTTCCCCGTGAACTGAAGGACCCACAAGGAAAAGATGCTGATCCAAGCAATCAAACTCCCCTCACAAATCCACCCCCTTGTATGAACAGTCCTGCTGTAAAATCCAACCAGACCACCCCAAACTATCTGCCAAAGACACTTTTCCTGGAGCACCTCCCACAGTCCCCGTGCCAGGGACATTTTCCTTGGAAGAACAAGGGCTGCCAAGCTGTCCCACCCACAACCAGGAGGACAAAGAGTGTTGGTTGACCCTCCCTCCAGCCCTCCTGGCCAAACACCTCCTGCTTTCCTGCCTGCTCCCTCAGCCAACAAAATAATGACGAGAATGGAGGGGAACATTTGGGTTCTCTTGCCTGAAAAAGGAGGTGCAGGGCTTCCTCCTCGTGGCTGACAGGGTGGATGGACAGACCCCTGACATGAACCCCCCGAGGGGAATCCAGCACAGCCAGGGGGGTGTTCCTGGAGCCACAGCCCAGCCCCGGGCACAGCAGGTCAAACAGGGCCTCGTTGTAGATCTCCAGGTAGGAAATTCGGATTCTGATGGAAAGACTGAGGGATCCTGCAGCTGCTTTGAACACCTGCACAAGGACACAGAGATTGTCACTCATCACAGACAGGATTTTTACCTATTTATGGCTTTCCAGAGAAGATATTTATATGTAGATGTTTATGTGAGATATAAATAGATATAAGATCAAAATAGATATGATTAAATAGAGATGAGATATAAATAGATATTACTAAAATAGATATATATAAAGAGATATAAGATATAAATAGATGTAAGATATAAATAGATATAAGATATAAATAGATATAAGGTATAAATAGATATAAGGTATAAATAGATGTAAGATATTAAGATATATATAAGCTATAAATGTACATAAGATATGTAGAGATATTTATAGAGAGACATTTCTGAGCAGCTCCAAGTACACCTGGGTGTGTGGAGCCCAATCTGAGCTGTGCTTGCCTGAGGGCTTGACTTGGATTTGGATTCAATGATCTTATGGAATCAGAGAATCCTGGAATGGTTTGGGCTGGAAGGGACCTTAAGGATCACCTCCTTCCACCCCTGCCATGGGCAGGGACACCTTCCACCAGCCCAGGCTGCTCCAACCTGGCCTTGGACACTTCCAGGGATCCAGGGGCAGCCACAGCTTCTCTGTCCAACCTGTGCCAGGGCCTTAGAGGTATTTTCCAACCTTAATGGTTTTATGATCAGTTTGAACAGGATTCCACAAAATGATAGCTTGGCAAACACCCCTTTTGAAGGTCTGGGGAGCTTTGGGGAGCAGCAAGAATTTTCCACGAGCAGGTAGAACTAAACCTCTGGGAAGGGCAGCAAAGCTGCTTTACTTCTTTAATCCTCATCCCTTGAGGGGGATGAAATGAAGGGGGAAAAAAGACATGGTATTCCTCCCAGCCCCTTTTCCCAGATCCAGTACCTGCTGGATAGCCCTGGGGATGATCCCTCGGTGCTTGTACTCAGAGGTTGCTCCAGTCATGGTGTAAGTTTTACCAGCCCCGGTTTGCCCATAACACATGATGGTGCCTGGAAAATCCCAAAGCAAAAGGATAAACCCAGGGGGGAGCCTCAAACTGAACAGCCAATGGATCTGTCCTCAAACCGACCCCTTAATTATTACCAAAATAACAAAAACCAGCGATAAATCACCATTGCAGCCACGTAAAGCTTCAGCCACCAAGTCCTTGGCCACAGCCTCATAGACCTGGTCCTGGGAGGTGTTGTGCAGGAGCCCATCCATCCTGAAGGACCAGTCAGTGGAGGAGTTGTTCACAGTGCCTCCCCTGGCATCTTTCTCGATGTGGATGTCGATGCTCTGCAACCCCAAAAAGAGAGGGAGGTCAATTCAACAGCCCTGAGGAGCTCCAGGGATGGAGGACCTGGAATGAAGTAGGAAAGGGAGCACAAACACCAGGATTATTTTACTCCCTGGGGTGGTTATGGATGTTCTAAAAATACCTGGCAATACCCTCAAATTTCTGGGGGTAATTATTCTAAATAGAGAAAAAAAATGTGGTTAAGCTCATCAGTTTAAATATCAATTATTTTGTGTCTGAACTAGGCAAGAGAAGGTGAAGGCAGGAACTTGCACAGTGGGAGGACAGGAACACTGTGCCAAACTGTGGTTACCACAGGAATTCCTCCTGGATCAGTCAGTCCCTGCCCCTCTGAGGGTTTTCCTGGGGATTGGACCAGGAAGTGTGTTTTCCACAGTCACAACCCCTGTCAGGCAGGAACAGGGGAACCAACTCACCCCAAAACATTACCCATGGCCTCAAGGGATGGGAAAATCCTGCCTTTTCCATGGGCAAAGCTGAAATCAAACTCCAAACCTCTACCACTTGGCATTTCTTTCACTCTACCTTGTTGTCTGCCCCAAACTTGATCATGTCCTGGGCAAAATGAGCCGTGGGCTTGACTCTCACAAAGGCCTGGACTGGTTTTATTGCTCTAAACAGAGAGGGAAAAACCAGCACAGTAAGGATGTTGCATTCCCTAAAATGCCATTTATACCATTTGTCAGGACAAAGGAGAACTCCAGAGCAGTCAAATTTAAACATTAAGTGTTGCTAAATGTTCAGCTGCAGTTTTTGTTCTTTATCAAAAGCAAAGAGCTGCTGGGAATCCTTCCCAGCCTTGTCCTGCCTGGAAAACTGAAGGGAGAAAGGTCTTAATTACCCTCATTTCCTCTCGGGTACCAGGCACAGGAGCGCTCAGTAACACAATTTTCTTCCTCTTAGGTTTGAAAGGGAAAATATTTGCAGGAATAGGAGGGGGGTTTTCTTTTGTTTGATTTGTTTGTTTGTTTGTTTGTTATATTTTAAATTCCTTTAAAACACCCAAACTTCAGTTTCCTGCAGGAAATATCCAGCCAGGCTGGAGGATCTGCTGAGTGAAACCCAGCTGAGGAGGGCTCAGGGACCATCCAGCTGCTAAAGCCCCACCTGAGACACGGGAACTGAATATTTGGGAATCCCTGGAAGGTGCAGATCCCACATTTTCCCTCAGTCATTTCCTCCCGACACCCTGCACTTGATAACTGTGTAATAATTACTGATAACTTCTAGTTTGGGACAAAATCTTCTGAATTTCTTGCACATTCAGGGTTTTGGGGATCTCTCCAGCATTTTCCCTGCTGTGAAATGAAAGGTGGAGGTTGGAGCTGGACCAAGACTTGTTGGATTTCAAACATTTGGGGGATACCTGGAAGTGTCACCGTCAGAGAGCAGAGAGGAATTGCTGATCCACTCCTCCTCCTCCTCCTCCTCCTGGGCCTGGGATCTCCTGGAGATCACAGAAACCTGTCCCAAAAACCACCCAAAACCCAGTGTGGGAATTATTTCTTCAAAGCAAGGAGTACAGCAGGGAAAAGGAGGAAGGGGAAAATCTTGGGGAAGAATTCTCCCCATGAATCAGAGAGAAGAAATTCCAAAGGAGTGGAATTTTCCTGGCTGCAGCAATGCCTGTTGCCGGATGTCAGGAGAACAGCAGGGACTCCTGGGAGTGTTCATGAACACCAGGAGATGGGAAGGAACAGGGTGCCCAGGGAAATTGGGGATGCCCCACCCCTGGAATGTCCAAGGCCGGGTTGGACAGGGCTTGGAGCAACCTGGATGGGCTTTCAGGTCCCTCCCAACCCAAAGCATTCCAGGATTCCGAGTGGGCCCAGTTGGGATTACCCTTGAATCACTCTTTGTTTTGGAGGGAGAACCTCGTTGCTTTTCCAGCCCCTGAACTTTCTTCTGCTTCTCTTCCTCCTGCCAGGGAAAAACAGAGCCCAATCCATGTGAAAAACACCCCTGGAGAGCCGGGAAAACCAAGCCCTTTGGCCACGCTGAACACGGGTTCAGCCACCTCTCCAAGGCTTTGGAAGTGGGAGGTTCCCCTTCCCACAGCTCAGGTGGGCAGGGCTTTGGGAATAATCCATCTGCAAGGGTTGGGAATTGCCCAGGGAAGCTGCAGTTGCCCCATCCCTGGAATGTCCAAGGCAAGGCTGGAGCAGCCTGGGATAGTGGAAGGCTGGGAATGAGATGATCCTCAAGGTCCTTTCCAGCCTGGAATTCTGTGCCCAGCTGGGACTACCTGCTGGAAGGAGGAGGCAGAACCTTATTGTTTATCCAGCTGCTCAACCTCCTCCCGCTGCTCTTCCTGCTGCCAGGGAAAGAGGGACCCCATTCCATGGGAAAAGCAACACCTGGACACACCTGGACACACCTGGACACACCTGGACACACCGGGGCCAGCTGATCCTGCTCTGCTGCACCCAACACGGACCGAGCCATCTCTCCAAAGCCTTGGGAGCGAGGGGTTCCCTTCCCGCGCCTCGGGGGAGATTTGGGCAGGAATTTGTGCAAAAACTGTCTGGAAGTGTTGGGACTTTCCCAGAGAAGCTGTGGCTGCCCCTGGATCCCTGGAAGTGTCCAAGGCCAAGTTGGAGCAACCTGTGGTAGTGGAAGGTGTCCCTGCCCATGGCAGGGGTGGAGGGAGATGATCTTTAAGTTCCCTTCCATCCCAAACCATTCCGGGGGGAGATCAGGGGGGATGCCGGGAGGGGGGAGCGCGATGCCTAGGGGGCCGATGCCGCCCGTGCGGCCGCGCCCGCCGGGCCAGGAGCACCGACTGACCCTTGCGGAGCGAGGCGGCGACTTCTCCGGCCCCCCCCGGGCCGAGCTGGTGGTCGGGCTGGAGCTCCGGGAGGCGTCCGGGGTTGCCATGGCAGCGGCCACTTCCGGGTTCCCCCTGGCGACGGCGGCTTCCGGGCCGTGGCGGAAGCGTTGCGGGTACGGCGGCCGGGCGGGGCCAGCGCAAAGCGCGGCGGGGGCGAAGCGCGGCCGGGACGATGCTGGAGGCGGCGGCGGAGCCCGAGCTGGACCCCGAGGACCTGGTGCACTTCTCCGTGGGAGACCTGCCCAGCCGCGGCTACGGCGTCATGGGCGAGATCCGGCGCCAGGGCAAGCTCTGCGATGTGACGCTCAAGGTGCGGGAGGGGCCGGGCGACCCCCCGGTCACTGGGGGGAGACTGAGGGGGGTGAGGGGTCGTGGTCCCTGATGGGGGGAGAGGCAGCACCTGGCTCCTGAGGGGGAGCTGGGGATCCCCCCAGTCCCTGAGGGGGGCTGAGGGACCCCCTGGCATCTGAGGAGGGACTTCGGGAACCCCCCGAGCCCCTGAGGAGGAGCTGAGGGACCCCTGTGCCTCCCGTGGGGGGACCCCAGTCCCCGAGGGAGCCCTGAGGGACCCCCAGCCTGTTTTCCAGAGGGAAGGAGGCAGCTGGAGTCCCTGGAGCCCCTTTGGTGGGGGTTAAGGGGGTGGCTGAGACCCTCTTGGATGGGCAGGAGGGGGTCCCACCTTCCCATGGATTTGGCAGCGAAGAGGGGAGGTGCTGAGACCCCCCCAAAGCCCCTCAGTGGGGTGTCAGGGGGTCTGGGACCCCCTCAGCCCTGGTGGGGGGTCTGTGAGGGGCTGGTGCAGGTTTCTGGATCAAACTGCTCCCACCCACGGGAGAAGACTCCTTTCCCTTGGAATCCTTTCTCTTTTAGGAACATCCATTTCTTACATCAAAGAAGCCATCCATAGCCGTGGAAAATCCGTGGGATCGGGTCCCTGGCTGTGCAGGGAATGGCTGGGAGGACTCGGGCAGGAGCTGCTGGAATCCCTCAGGATTCCAAAGTCGGAGGAGTCTGTGGGGTGGGAGCAGTGTTGAGTCACTCCAGAATTAACTCTGAAGTTTAATTAAGTGGGAAGGTGTTTCCCAGCCTACTCATCCCGAAACTTTTCAGGGAGAGGAGCTGGAGAGGGCTGTGCCTGTCATGGAGACAGGATGTGGGATAGGGAGCACCCCATGGATTTGGGGGGGCTGCTCCATCCCTGTGGATCAGCTGTAGCCTGCTGGGAAGAGGGACTGAGGGTGCTGATCCTCCTTGGAAGTGGTTGTACCTTCCACAGGGTGTTTTTGGGATAGTCTGTGCTGGAACCTGAGGGAATTCTGTGGCAAAACTGGTTTGGGGATGGAGAGCGCTGCTTTTTTTTAGGATTAAAGCGTGTGTTGGTGTGAATCCCAGACTGGTTTGGGATGGAAGGGACCTGAAGGATCCCCCAGTGCCACCCCCTGCCCCAGAACAGGGGAACACAGATATCCTGCCAGGATGGGAACTGCCCAGGCAGCTCTGTCTGCTGGGATTTGCTGTCCCTGCCTGCCCCCTGGGGACACGTCCTGCTGGAATCCCGGGGGATGCACCGCTGGAAAACAGGCCAGGAATATTTATCCTGTTCTTCCCTGACCAATTTAGGGGGAATAAAATGGATGATATCCTATTTACAGCTCCTGCTCGCTCTGGTTGGAGCCAGAGGAGGAAGGTTCCAAGTGCCAGGCTGGCTCCTCCAGGAATCTTGGCCAAACTGCTGGGAGAGGGAAGGTTTGTGCCATTCCAAGCCCTTGGAGAGCGGAGTTAACGGGAGCTCCTCCTTTGGTCCTGAGTTGCTCCAATGCCATTTTTCCATGACCAATTCCAAGACTAAATAGAAAAGTCTCTTAAAATACAATCCAGGCCTGGAAAATTGAAGCAATTCCAGGCCCTGGAGAGGCTGCATTATTTGTTTCATGTGCAGTCCTGCCACTACCAGGTGCCAGTCCTCTTGGCTTCCCTTCCTTTCCAATCCCAGTTTTCCCAAAGCAGGCTGTTTTCCAGAGCAACCCCCCCAGAGAGGAGCAGACACAGAGGTGGAGGAGCCTCTGGATCAGTGGAATTCCAGTCAGCTGGGGCTGGCTGATCCCAGCTCCTGCATCCTCCCAGTGCTTGGCTGCTCCACAGACACCACAGCGTGTCCGGGACATCCCTTGGGAAAAGCAGCTTGGAAGAACAGGGAACATCTGTGTTTTGGAGGAGCTGGGAGAGCTGCAGGGCAGGAGAGCTGCAGGTTGAGGATCTGACCCCTCTCCTCACAAGTTTGGATCCTGCCAGGGGGTGGGAGCAGAGAGCAGGGGGATTCCTGCTTCCAGGACTCCAGGAAATGTCTGTGTGCTGTCTCTGCAGGAGCTGGGCTGGAGCTGATCCCCTCGGGATGCTCCCTGTCCCTGCAGGACGTGGGCTGGGATTCAGCCAAGCAGTTCAGCTCCCCTGAGTTGGCAGGGAATTCCCTGGGAATTTGGGTTTGTTGGATGTGATTTCTGCCTCAGAGCCATTGGTTGCATTATCATGGAATGCTGGGATGGCTTGGATTGGAAGGGACTTTAAGGATGATCCAGTGCCACCCCCTGCCATGGGCAGGGACACCTTCCACTGTCCCACGTTGTTCCAAGACCCGTCCAACCTGGCCTTGGACACTTCCAGGGATCCAGGGGCAGCCACACAACCTGTGCCAGGGCCTGCCCACCCTCACAGCCAGGAATTCCTTCCCAATATCCCATCTGTTAGTGGGAAGCCATTCCCTGTGTCCTGTCCCTCCATCCCTTGTCCCCAGTCCCTCTCCAGCTCTCCTGGAGCCCCTCAAGGCCCTGCAAGGGGCTCTCCGGTCTCCCTGGATCCTTCTCTTCTCATCCACCAACACTCCCAAACCCTTCCCCTCAGCTCTCTTCTCATTCTCCATCCAGCCTGGATTTGTGCTGGGAATTGCCCCGCTCCAGGTGCAATCCATGGCCTCTCCTGCAGAGCCGTGCTGGGATGGGTTGGGCTCAACTCCCCTCCTGCTTCGGCCTCTCGGTGGCTGCAATGCCAACGTCACAGAGAGAAGATGATTTTTGGGAATGTTGGAGATCTTTGCTGCCAAAAACTCCGAGACTCCTCAGCTCTGCTGGGTGGGGACGTCAGGAAAACAATGGATGCCTTTTTTCCACCTCCACCACTCCCCTGGAGAAAGGCTCCTTGTTCCCTGGAATTTGTTAAGGTTTGTGCTATGGGGGTGTCTGGGAGCACATTCCTTTGGAGATGTGTCAGCAGGGAATTCTGTGGTTCCTGGGGTCAGGAAGGATGCCTGCTGAGTTCCTTTTTTTTTTCTGGGAAACAGCATCCCTTCCCTTAAAAGAAAGGGAGCTAAAATTATCCACTGTAAACCAGAACATCCTGGGATGGGATCAGGATCAGGAGGAGGATGAGCTCTTTCCCACTTTCTCCTTAGACTTGGCTGATTCCATTGTGAATCCATCAGGTGGGAAAGCGTGTTTGTTTGCTCCTGGGAAGGGAGATCCTTTGGCTCTGGAGATGGGGAGCGCTCTGGAAGCAGAAGACACGAGGATGAGCCGGGTGGACACATTCTGTGTGCTCATCCTTGGAAGTATTTCCCGTTTCCTACAGGAAAAACTTGCCCTTTGCCTGCAGCAAGAAGTGGAGTTGTTCCTTCGGGACTTGCCATCCGGTGCTGATGGAATGAACATAATGATGGTTCTGGAGCAGAGATCCCAATTTATCCATCTCCCTGAGGGCCCTCAAGCTTTACAGGAGCAGGTTCCAAAAAGAAGGAATCTCAGGTTTTGTATTGTCCCCCAACCAGGAAATATTCCCGAGTTCTTTGCTGGTGCAAAAGATCCCCTGCTCCCAGGGATCATTCCCAGTGCAGGACCACCCAAAAGGTGATCAGCAAGTCTGGAGTCCCCAGAGCTGCCCCCCCCGGGATAATTTTGGGTATATCTCAAGGGTCACTGGATGCATTTGAAGCAGGTGTTTCACTTTAAGAGGTGCCTGTTTCATTTTAACATCATTTTTATTTTTTGAAAAGATAAAATGGGATTGGAGCAGCCGGAATTTTTGGCAGCTTGTGCTTGGAGTTGAAATGGAAGTGAAGGAAAATGTTGTTTTCCTTGCACTCTCTGAATGGGAACACTCATCCAAACAAACCAGTTGGAGCGAATTCCTTCCAGGCACTGGGATATCTTTTGGAATTTTAGAGATCAGAGACCTTTTCCCGTCACCTTTCAGAAATATCCAAGGAAAAATGGCGTTTTCCTGTGTTTTGGGATGTTTGAGACACCCGGGAAGGGCTTTCCCAGCAGGATGAGGGTGTATCAATAACACCTATTTTGATGGTGTTGCCAGTTTTTCCCTCTGCTTGTTCTTCCCATCAGTGGGCTGGGCCGGGAGCAGCTGCTGCTGGAATGGCTTCATCCCTGGGGAAGGAATGGAGCGGGAAGTGCCGGAGCTTGCGGAGCAGGTCGGGTGTTCCTGGGGGATGGAATGTGGAATGTGGACAGACCGAGTTTGTCACCCTGGTCAGCCAGGCTGGGCCTGGTCCCAGGGAAACCTTTCCTCACTGAGAATTCCCAAAAAAAGCTGGAGCTTTTTTTGTCCTACCATTTCACTTCCCGATTTTGCTCTGGGAATTAGGAATTCTGTGGAATCCAGGCCAGCAGGATTGGTGCAGCGTATTCCAGGCACGGAGGAAGCTCGGACAGGGATTCAGGGCTGCCCAGGGCGAAGACAACGCTCTCCAAAAGTGCCTCTCTTATTTTTCCATCTGGCAGGAATTCTGCTTTGTAAACTCCCAGGAAGTTTGTGTTTGCTGGGCGTGCCAAGCAGAGGCCCAGAGGGAGAGGGAAGGCACTGTTGGGAATCATGGAAATCCTCGATCCAAACAGCATTTGGAGGTGAAAGGGGAGTGAAGGGTTTTGTAGAGGAGAAGAGAGGGAATCCTTGGATAACCCGGAGTGCAGAGGACCTGCTGTGCCAGCTGGTTTGTGCCATAAAACAAAACTCAGATGGGAAAATTTTGCTTGAGTGAGGGGAA